CGTAGTCGCCTTCGTAAAAACAGTCCAGGCTCGTGGTCGTGTCGTACTCGCCCAGTCTTACTCTCGCTAATGTCCAATTCAGAGGGATGTTGGCGACGCAGTGAGCCGCCGTCAGGACGTGGTGATTCGTTATTAAGACACCACCGCAGGCTTCGCTCAAGCCGAACGCTGCTGTCAATCATAGGGTTCTTTAGTGTAGGTCTTTAAGAAACGAGATGTTTGACGTATTTGTTAATTAGGAACTCTATTTATTAAGTGGCACTCGATTATTAATCGATAGTCAAGTGCCTTTGCTAATCTTTGGTTATTGGCTGTTCTAAAAAATATAACATTCAAAATTACATTCAGTATAACATATTTACTTAAAAATATTATTAGTTTTTAATATTTATAAAAACATTGTTGTTTGCTAATTCGAAATGATAAAATTTTAATAAAGCAAATGTAAAATACGTAAATAATTTGCAAATTTATATAATTTTGTAGAGTACAAAATTTTTTCTTTTTATCTCTTTTTATCAATTTATAATAATTAATTACAAAAGTATTAATAAAATAATTAAATTTGAGAAATAATCATTTTGAATGATAATAAATTTTTTTTTTATTTTAATCATTGTTAATATATTCGTCACATTTCATAATCGTTAATAATACTCATTCTTTATGAAAATCACTTTTATATAATCAATGGCATTTAATAATTATAAGATCTTTTGAAATAAATATTTTAATATTTCAAAAATTTTTGGCAATAAAATGTACCTGTGAATTCCAATGACTTTAATGTAATTTCATTATTCCTTAATTCTCACAATGTTCTTAAACGTGCAATTAATAATTGAAAGATTGTTCTCCATTAGACTATTAGTACGTTAAAAATAGCATAACTATACGGATTATATTTAAAAATAAAAAACATTGTACTATACTTTTTCTAACGTTCTATCAATATTATTATTTTCTTATAAGAATATAAGACTTGTAATAATCATTATTTGCAGTACACGAAAAACAAAACAAAACAAAAAATAAATAAATGAAAGTGATACATAGACGAGTTAAATACGGTTTCAATATCATTAATAACAAATACAGAAATTAAATTCCTCTGGCCGTTACACAAATCGATGGTGTTCGATCGAACAAAAGATGGCAATTGCCGAGTCGGAGCAGCTACCTGAAATATACTTACGCGTATCATATTCAAGAAGAACTAGCCATGGAAAATCATCGATCTCTGACTGATTGCCAAAGAATACTTTATGATGTATAAAGCGTCCGCAATCAACGCTCGATTTGCCCAATATCTCCTCTACAATACACCAGATAAATTATTTTGTGTCGAGTGAGCCAAAACAAAAGGAAAATGTGAGGGGGGAGGAGCCGAGGCTTCGATTTATCTCTTTGGGTCCTTGTTTTGCAAATACCCTCTACCCCGAGAAATGCGTAAAATGAAAAATGACACATAACACTTGCCTGCGCGAACGGTAGCGAGGAGCGAAGCAGCGATTACCACGAACTTCATGTCGGCGCGACTGTGTAACGTACCGCGTATTGCCTAACGGTTTGCTACGTTGACAAGAAAGCAGAAAAATATCAAATAAAAAGAACAAACGCGCATGCCCGTCTTCCCTCCGTGCCGCTCCCCACCTTTGGGCCACCCGAGATTTATCATTTATCTCGTGCGAATTCCCCTCCTCCTTGTCACTGACGTAATCGCCAATATGCCTCTTCCCTTATTTGTTCGCCTATTTATACGACTTTCCGATTAACATGCTTTGATAAGGCGTTTTTGCTGTTTTTCAGTGATATTTGTGCATTTTTGCAATTTAGCAGACTCCTTTATCCAGCTGCTCGATTATTGTAGGAGATGTGGATAATATCTGAGCAGTCAATCAGGCAAATCCAATGTCAAGAACTAGATATAGTATATTTATAAATAGAATAATTTCACTAAATAAGTGTTAAATGACGACTGAAAATGGAAATATTTTTCCTATGATCCGAGACTATCCGAAACTAAATCGGTAGATAATTCCCGTATTATCTTACAAAGTAATATCATCCTAGTCAGTGATTACCGAACTGCTCTAGGCTACATGAAAAATTGTGGTTCAACAGTTGTTCATTGTATTCTCAATCTTTAAATGACTATTATCGGTGATGAGAAGATTGGATTAACCTGTAAAAGCATCGTTGTTGTCGATGCAGATATTCATGAAATACCATTATATTTATGGTCGCTTATTTGTGATCGCCAAAAAGTATTTAACATTACAAAGATACTTAATATTTAAATTATAAAACTTGTTTTTAAATATGTGCACAATACAATACTTAATTTATGCAATTATGTATTGTATATGTAGGTTTATATATAACTATAAAATATAAAGTTTCAACATGCATCATACAATTAGCCATGCCTATATTTCTATACAATATTTATATTTTTATGGTATTTTTTAAAATTACTAACATATATTGTAAGAATACAGTGAAAATAAGTACAGTTAAATAATGATAATATACGCAGGAAAATAATTTCTAACAGTCTTTCAATATTCATGAAATGTAAATGTGACGTTTCAATATAAACGCCTGGGATCAGAAATTGTATTCCATTTCAACTACGTAGATAGCTTTTAATTTTATATAAACATATTTATAAGTACGTAATAAGAAGCAATTTCTAGAATTTTACCGTACATTGCTCATATAATTATTATATTAATATTAATAAAGAATTTATTATTTGTGGTGGTAAATTATTGTGCCATTGTGAAATTCTCAATATTCACCAATCGAATTGAAAAATCACAGGTGCATAAGCACTATAACAATCCGTAATTTATGATAATTACGAGTTTATGTATTCAAAATATTTCATTAGGTAAGTTGACATTAGTATGTGCAATAAAAAAATATAATAATTTCTACAACAAAGGATATTACTCATTAATGCTCATTTTTAACGACTATTTGCTGAAAAAATGATTGTAGGCGGTATCGAAAAATATCTAAAAATACAAATTAATTTCTATTTCATCTGCATGTACGTTACTTAACGTATACATTAGTATCACACAGTCTGTAATACATGCATTAATATATCCATGGCATTAACATAGTACTAATAATAATTCATTTTTTGTATAAATTTTCTAATTTAATAATGTAAAGATTTTGTTTAGAATAACAAAGCCGCAGATAATTCTGTGTAATACAATATTCAATAGGTTTAATATTTTATAATATTTCCTAAAGTTCCATATTATATTAATAATTAATATTCATATGGAAATTTTTATCATTTATTAGTATATTTACCGAAATACTTGATAAAACGATCGATTAAAATCTTAATTTTATAATTAAAATTACAAATTAGCGCTGCAAAAAAGAAATGCCCATAATAAAATTCTTCTGTGATATTATATTTTTAATCGTACATATTATAATAATAATATTTTATCTTTTTGTTTATAAATTTATCACGATTTATTGTCTTTCTACATAACAAAATTATGTACATGCGATATTCTATCTTACTGCATCTTGTAAAACTTTATATAATGTAGAAGAATACTTGTAGACTTAAGACGTCACAATTCGTAATAGTCGATAAACGATATAAGCCATTTCATTAATACCGTTTTAATAATACACCAATACTTTTTCATTCATGATATTTTCGATAAACGGTATGAGATGAGATTCCATACTTTTGTGAACGCAAGGGACATAAAATTGCAGAGTCATGAAAATAGTTGAAAGATCATTGCAGCATTATAATGAAACGTACTTATCAAATATCGTAGCCCACATTTTCCCCAAGTTCACACAAATGGGTTAATGGCTTTTCATATTAAACAAAAGGCCGTTTGGATGCAAGTGCAATGTCATTTATGACCTCGAATCCGATAATGGTGAACGGTACATGGATGTTACATTAGGTAGAGAAATGTTGAGAAAAGACGGGCGCCATCGGTCGTTATATCGTTGAGTAGTGGAGTTTAATTTATCTGTAAAGAAAATCGCTGAACTGATGCTAAATCCTGAATGATAGCGTTGGCTTACGTTACGCACAATTTGTAGGTTAACTTGTGGGATAATGCTATCTGAATTAAATTCTTTCCCTCATAAATCACACTTTTAGTAATGCGCAGACAAAGTTAGACTAGCTGTTCACATGGTTATTCTTTTGAATAATAAGTAAGATAATTAAGAATTTATTTTAATATGTTCGAGGTTTTCGTTTTATAAAACAGACTCGTGAGAGATACTAAGCTTCTGACTACTTGTATTGATTTGTTTAATGAAATAATTCGTAAGAAATAAGTATATATTTGTCTCGATTTACTAATTTAATATCTAAAACTAATTTATTTGCATATAGAATAACCGAATTCGCAAAATTGTCTGTAAGATCGTACTAGTAGTATATCAGAAACTTATTTTTCAAAATTTCTTTGAAATTGTTTTTTAGGTTAGATGTATTATATATAAATCGTATTTCGAAAAATGTCCAAATACGTGTGAAAGGATGAATTCCATTAAATTATACTTAGCTCACCTCGTCATAATTTTAAGCATTTTTAATAAAGTAAATAACGTTATACAATTTTCGTTGTACCATAACTCTTGCAGGACACCTTAGTGTAAAGATAGAGAGAGCATATCTCTTTATACCACGTCAAACAGAAAATTAATGCTTCTTTATAGCAGTATTATAAAGTTTTATTAAATTCTGTTGAATATACATATGTATGTATGTATTTATTGATTTATTTAATTCCAACGGTATTCTTTATTATATTTACAAAATACAAAAGTGCCACAGGTGCTCTTTTATTTCAATAATCCAAGTAATGCAGTTAATATAGTATATCAGATAAAAATCCTTTAGCTCCTCCGAATGTACTTTGATTATTATAGAGGGACTACACGACCGGACAACGAGAGTAATGAGAAATAAACCTAATGGAAATACCAACCTGGAGTGCGAGAACCCGCGATCTGTTGAGGCTACTGGTGAGGCAGACGGCGAGAGCGAGGAGTCCAGGTTGTGCTTGTGCAAGAATACGAGCGGCGTCGGGGCAGCGCTCGGCACATGCTCCTAAGCACTCCACACATCCCAACTCGTCGAGGGCAGCGCGTCGAGCCCGAGGTCGACGGGGTCCTGTCTGACCCGAAGGTGGCGTCGACTGCGACAGCTGAATACCTCGAAGCGTTTCCAGCAGCAAGGAAATACCCTCCGCAGGTGCCGAAGCAAACTCCTGAACGAAGCTGTTGAAGAATGCCATTAAATCATAAATTAGTCAAAAATGATTTAGAAATAGGCTGCTTTCTTGATTCGTCAAAATTAACAAAAATTCTAAATAGGTAACTCTATATAAATGCTGCTCTATATGAATTATTTTCTTGCAATTTACCAAGATTATTTATTTTTATTATAAATATTAGCCAAAAATATGTAATAGTCTTTTAATAATATCAACGTTTAGGTAAATAATGTAGTTCAATTAAAATGGGACACCTAAAATAGTATAGTTTTCAAAGTTTGCTATAATTTATCTTATATTACGTAAATGGATATAATGCATTATTATAAAGAGAATTGTTATCAGTATGACTGAACGATCCAACACGATATTTTCCAGTTCTGTTTATTTTTTATAAAAATACCGTGTATAAGCGGAGGAAGGTTATGCCTAGCCACAATCAATTACGAGCTATTATCATATTACTAGTAATATTATTTTCTAATAGTAATATTATTATTAAATTACTAGTAATATATTAAAATTAAAAAGTATATTACTAGTGGCTAAATACAACAGAATGGCTACCAAAATTATAGTATCGTTAAAATAGCTTAATAAATCGTATATTCCCATATACGCTTAATTAATGTAAATCAGATGCACTCTTATTCTAAATTATTATTAATTTAGAAAAATTTGTTATAAATTGTAAATGTATTGAGGGAATAAATAATGTCAGATTATTTTTATTTTTTTTCAAGATTAAGTATTGTGTTTGTACGGCCAATTCGACGATTAGTTAATATATTTTCGTGTATATAAATAAAATAAACATGATATATAAGCAGTGGTTTGTAGAGGTTTGGCGAGAGAAAATAAATACTTTAAATAACTGGGTTATAAGATCTACATTCGATAATACTACTCAATCGAAAGTAAGAAAGTCCTGAACTGCATTAAGCACAGAAATAAAGAAAGAATATCATAACATCAAAAAGATATCGTTTAAAAATTTTCGATTAACAAGAGACCGATTAACGCAGTCCTCATAATCCAGTTATCCTCGAGTTCATTAAACCCAAACACCAGGAACTAAAATAACAGTCCAAATAAGTAGAAAGGGAAAGAAAAGGTGTAAGGCGGAGTCAAGGCCATTAGGCCTCCAAAAAAAGCGTTGCACAGGTTAATCCCGCGTGTGCGCATACGCACGTAATAACGGTCGAGACAGCTGGAGATAGACTCGAAATCGGATCACTCGAACTTTTACGATCGTGTGTGCCACTTTAATGCCAATAGCGCGGCGTTACGCCTCTCTTTATCTCTCTTCTTTCCGCATTCTCTTCTTCCTTCATTTTCTTCTTTCATTTTTCTTTTTTTCCCCCTTTTTTTTTTCATCGGTGAAAGCTTACGATAGATGTCAACCTGACACGCGGATCTTAAGTTACGTCTTATTTTTGAGGTGACCGTTGCTAGCTTATGCTCCTCCTCGTGTTCTTGAACAACGCTTAAATCATTCTCACGTATGTCAGAGAAAATACGAGCGCACCGACAGATGGGCGCGTATTTATGGCCAGACTCCGAATAGCGGCTTAATCCGAGTTTAATTAATGCCGCGCGCTTTAAGTTACCCATTAATTCTTAAAGTACACAGAGGTACCGTTTTCGGTTTTTTTTAATATTGCTATCCGTGTCACTGATGTCTTTCCGCTTGTTCCGACCTCGTATTCGTCGCACTTTTTCAACGTGACCGAAGAATTATCTAACTAGCTGAAGGCATGTTTCTTTGAACAAAGATACTAAATATATGACTACACTAAATACATCCAAGAATATATTCGATAAATGCATGCACTACAATATTGAATTACACAAATATTTTCTCGCTACCAATTGAAAGGATATCGTGCATTGTAAATGTATTTTAGTATTATTAATAGGGATTTTCATAATACCGGCACAAATATTTAACGAATGTTCGTTTTTACGGAAATAAAAAATCCATTTGTTTATTCGTCGTAATAAAAGTTTGAAAAATGAAAAAAGGTTTGATTGTAGATACATTAATAGTTTAATATATTCTAATAGTGCATCATATTGATTTATAGTATATTTATTGTGGAATTAATTTATTCTCCGCATTTAGTCTAATTTTTTATCAATTAATATCTCAAATTACCACGATAATGATTATTTCTACACATGTACAGGAAAATTTCTCATTGAACTATCATAAGCGCATTAAAAAATATACACTTAATCAATCCAATATTTATTGCATCGGATGCTTAGTTAAATGCAACACTTTATAGCAAGTACATACGTTTAATAATAAGAAAAATGGAAAATAGTTTCTGTTTTAACATCTCTTATATATCTACTTGATACTTTAATGAAAATGATAAATTATTTTTTAATTAAAATATTAACAAAATGTACTATATTATATATTACGTATTATGTTAAAATGATAATTATAATGATGTGTGTTTCAAATCGATTGCTTTGTTATTAATCTATGCTCATTCACGGCTTAACCATTCCTAATATTCAGAGAAGACTAATTATTTGAGAGAAATTATACAGAATTCATTTTCATTATAAGATATCTGTATTATAATTTACTTTCAGATAGCGAAAACAAGTCATTTATTACATAATGATTGAAAATCGCGTGAACAAAATGATTCATTCATAATTAATCAATTGGATATTTTACCGATCTGATTAGGGCGATAATCGTATGTGACCGCCAATTTTTACACTAATGAAATTAAAAAAAAAAATCAGTGTTCCTAGTATACCTGGGGAAGGCGAGATGTAGATCAGCTTTGAGCTTATTGAGTAGCTCACTGACGGAGGTGAACTGTCTTAAGGTCATTTCGCCGGCGTTCCCGGAAGCGTAGCCGGAGCTCGAGCTCGTGCAGGTCGAAGGCAGAGTGCCTTGACTGTTGTCCGGCTGTCCTCCGAGGGCCCGACGGCCCCATCTTCGAAGGGCTATTGCATAGTCTTCGGCGTTGTATGTCGGGGGTCTTAAACGTTCCTGTAACATTTAAATTGTCGGTAATGAGCTTTTGTGCCAACTTTTCTTCTTCAATTCTTGATATTATAAAAGTTGCGAAATTGACGGAGTTGAGAAGATTCGATTTTCCATTTCTATATGAATTATCGTTTAGTAAAGGATGTTAGAAGACTAGTAAAATCTATACTTCATCAACAATTCGATAACGATATTTCAATTATTGTTATCGATTTTGATGGAATCTGACAAAATCCCGACTAATCGTAAGCAAAAGCCGGTTTTTTCATGATCAGTCGAGACAGTTTAATCGGAGTAAAATATACTACGACTGGATAAAATGTTTCTTTCTAGTTAATTATGAACCTGTTTTACTTATCGATACTAACGGTATTGGAAGAGACATCCGACATAATTGTCATTACGTTATTCAATTTAATTTTGGCTATCCATATAATACAAAATAGAATTATTATTATTATTCTCGCTATCGCTAAATTAAACAATAATAAAAATAAATTTTATTCAGTTTAATGTACTATATTAGAGAAAAATTTATTAGATGTTTATTTTAGAAATTTAATGTTCGTGCACGAAGAAAAATTTATATTTAAATCTTTTTTCAAGTTTCTTGCTATACATATACAGATAGGCAGATATGAAGGTATACTTATTCAAATGTAACCGTGGAACCGAATAAATTACTTTTATATACAATAATCATAACATATTAACTGTCATTATTATGTCATGAAACATTTAATGATCAACAGTAAGATTAATAGTATAATGATTAAATTTTATATATAACATATTTGAAATTGAGATCTTAATTTTGAAAATGGTTTTGTCCACTCACTCGAATAAAAATATACGTCATTTCATGATATTTTAAAGAATGAATGAAAGCAAAATCATAATAGAAGTTATACTTTATATAATATTGTTTATATCAAGCATTAATTATTAGTGCAATTAAATATATTTATTAGATGAATAATAACTGAAATAAAGACTACTTTTATGGATTAACATATTTTTTATCATGAAGGTCAAAACGCTATCGGTTAAATTATTCATCAGATTATCAAAAAAAAAAAAAAAAAAAAAAAAAAAAAAAAAAATCTACGTTTGACAAATGCTATTATAAATCGATCATTTTCATTATAAAAATCAACAGTTATTATATTAACAAATGTAACCATTTGATCGCGCGCAGTAATACTTAAAACTGACATATGATAAAGAAAAAGGCTTTGCAGATAAAATATGTACCCAACCGGTATGTACACATAAACGATAAAGCCATCATCGATCTACCATGTCCTAATAAAGTCGTCGTCAAAAAAAGTCCAACGCACGACGTCACAAGGGACGAATTAATCTCATGGATGCATAGACAGTAAGTGTAGTATAGTAATCGGTTGTGTAAATAAGGATTCGCCCCCACCCCCCTCACACCGCTCATTCCTAAAGGATCAGTTCGTGCGATAATGTTAATATAATCGCGTCATTCACAGCTTCATTTTTTCATCTTCTTCCTCCTCCCCTCGTCGAGACCCGCACGCATGAATATTTCATAGATGAACAATTTGTGGTGTCGCGCCGCGACTGCTGAGAGCACGAATTTATAAGTGCGTTCGATTAGCTCTAAATTTGCCGACATTTTTTCGCAGTGGTACTTTAAAGAGACAAAGTAACTTCTAAAGTGATCCATCGTTCTTTTACCTCGCAGAGTTGCCTCGACGTATTAGCATAACTGGACCGAGCGCGCAAAGTCACACTGAATTTCAGTGAATTTTGCTACATTGTGATCTTAACGGGCAACAGCGGCAGTTGCATCACATGTACATTCGAGTCGAGTTAGCCACGTACTAGCCTTGATAATCAAACGAAATAATCTAGATGCTTTATCAGATCGCAAGTTGCTTATATGTGCACGAAATAACCGACGACAAGGCTTAAGTAAAATAGCTTATAGTTTTATGAGCTCAACCATCATATCCGTTATCTTATAACATTGAAGCGCTTGACGAGGATCTCATCGTCGTTATACTAACTATACCGCGATGAGGCACGGCAGGATATCACACCTGGACTTGTAAAACTGGGAAGCAGCATTCTTGAGGCCTGTGATCGGCGACTTCCCCCGATGAATGCACATCGAGGCTCATAATCGCTTATGCTCTTTTCGTCGTGTGAAAAAGCTTAGTCTCGGGAAATGAGATACATAGTCTCATGACTTTAAAATTTCTTAGATTCCGTTTTTGTATAAGTAGCTGCGGTGAAGTTCATTTTCAACAATGTTTATATTAGACAGGTTAGAGCTTGCTTATGTTTGTCGGGTATTGCGGCCAGCGGAGTGCTGCAACAGAATTCACAATGACTGACGAAAAACTGGACGAAAGTTAAGTATTCAGGGTTATAGCGAACCTTCTGTTGTAAAATTTATAAAGTAGTTTACGAGACCTTCTGACGTAAAAGAATTTTTCTTTAAAATTTTCATTTTTACGTTGGAGAATGTGTGATGTTACATCCGGAGGTAATAATTTAATACTTCAAATCATTAAAGTGAACTTAACGTGCTTGTAATACAAAGAAATTCGGATACATTGATAACATAATAATTACGTTTCGACTGAATACAATTGTATACTAAACTGTATTTCATACGAGTACCTAGTGGATACCTAAAATTGTAAGTTAATATTTAGATATCGTTAAAACAATTTTAGTCTTGTTTCATTGTGTGGTGCAGAATATTTATGATGCATAAAACAAAGCTTACACAAGGAAAATACATAGTGATACAGACGACACGGATGATTTAATTAATGTCTTCTTTATGACCATATGAAACTTGCGTTTATAGTTTTCGATAAAATTAATAATTAATTATAAAAAAAAAGAGCGTTAAGAGAAATACTATTCATTGTTTATAGAATTTTCGACTTGTTGATTTTGGTAACAATGGCTATATTTATAAAAAATGAATTTAGTAAGCATACAATTATTTTGAAATATACAACATATATAAGTAAAATAATTTTTGAATATGAGAGACGGCGTTCGGAATTACTATCTCAAATTATTAATTTTCTTATTAATCGTGTAACACTCTCATTATCTAATGTGCGCGCTTACAAACTATAAAATCGAAGATACTCATCAAGTACGAATAATAAACTTTTTGCAGGTCCCTTTAATCCATCACATAAGCTATAAATTTTGCTATTTTTTATGGCGAGGGCTTTCAATTTTTTTATTTGCATGAAGGCCGAAACGTCGGACATAAGGTTAATATATGGACGGCAAGAATCATCAATCTTCCATAATAATACTACCATATTTGAAGCTTAAATGTAATACATAAAGTCCACTTAAAATAAAAATCTTCAAACAAATTTGAGAAAACATCACTTCCTTTTATTGATATTGACTTTATTTGAGTTATTGTGAGACTTTATTATTGACTTTATTTGAGTATATACTCTTGTAAAACACTCATCTCATTCAAACATAAATAGTTCTATTGCATTCAATACGTATCATCGAATTTGCAGCATATTTAAATATTTTGAAGAACTCATACTTGAAGTAACAAATATCACAATATAATAAATTACTTTCAATTCTCGAAATAAACTAATTTCTACTTAATTATTTCTTTAAATAGTATGCATCGATCAAATGGCGCAAAAATAATTTTCATTTGCATAATTAAAATTTTTCATAACTCAAGATGTTACACGACGAAAAAAATTTGCTATATCCATTTAATGGATCTTATTAATAGACTACTTAATAATTACTTCATTCGCGCCAAATGATAACATTGTCCATAGTTAGTCATTTACCTACTTAGGTAAAATGAGTGCCCAAGTACATATTTAATGTTTAATAGGGGCACTTGCGAACTTACGCGCCATCGTCAGTGCATTATTATTTCGTGAATTATACAGCATTTACAAACGTGTCGAGATTGATTAATATTTTTTAAAAAAATCCGGTTTGCACAGTAACAAATGAATATTGCGAGTGAGACGTTGGGACTCTCGGGCGCTTAATTTAATTCATCTGCCCTTTGAAGCACCATCACTTTTAATAATTATATCCATAATGGGGAGTCTTTGTTTCGTCGGAAATCTATGTGTGTAAGATAAATCTGTAATACGAAGAGGCAATTCGTTCTCTAATAGCGCGTGTTCATTTATTCATATCAAATTTCAGTAGATTAAATGGGATGAATCTTGTTTTCGTAGTTTAATAAAATGCCATGGCGACGATAATAAATTAATAATTAAATATCGCAAAAGTAGTGTCACTTTTCATCTTATCAGTGCGTTTCTTTGCTACATTAAAAAAACAATTAATTGACTATTGGTACAATTTAACACGAGAGTTTTAATTTAACATGAAGATAAATTTACCGGCATTGAGTTCATTAATATGAAATATGCACGATTTTAAATGCTAATCAGTTTTTTAACGTTAATCTCAGGTGCTCCGTTTCTCTGTTTTGGATTCGCGAATCATTATACCTATTCCAAGATTCACTGGTAGTCGCATTTATGAAACATTTTCCCTTTAAAAGAGTCGTGGTAATATTGAAAATATTCAGCGCGCAGGATTGCCGCTTGACTGTAATTGAACGGGCAAATCAATTTTTCGAAATAAATCCCGAACGCCTCCTTCTGGAAAGTTGTAAAATTGATGGGGTTGGTTATTATTAGCCTGTAATTAATCTTTCGATACGTCTGATACGTACTATTATGATAACTTTCAATGAGAAGATGCAGGAGCGTTTCTGTAAAAGAAGATACAAAATTTAATATACCTACTGAATATTCAAGTAAGTGAAACTCGCGTACTTTCATTTGGGTAAAATAGGCAACAGTGAAATCGATCATTAAAGCGCTGACTTTTTAATGGCCAAAAAAATGTAAATAAAATGTTAAAATTGGTGCACGGGGTTTTACGAAAAAATTACAAACGATATTTTATGAAGAAAGTTTGACGTGACAAGATTTAGTTATACGCCGAATAGTCATGTGCGTATATAAGCGGACGCATTCCTCAAGCGATTTATGATACTTTTAAACTCCCGCAAAGAAATATGAAAATATACTAAAATATATAGTGCATAGTTGATTATTCGTCTTTTTTATTATTACTTTTCATTGTTTCTCCTGTATAAGAATTTTGTTCCACATGAATTACGGACATTATCATATAAATGATTTTTCTTAGAATGTAAAGTAATTTTTGTAAAATTTATACACTTCGACGAACTGAAACAAGACTATATGCCTTCCGACACTTATAACAAATAACTCATAATTTTAATATAAACCTCTGCGTATTATAAGATTAATTAAAGCTTTTGTAAGATTTTATTAAGGCGCATGAAAATTCGTTATATCTTGTTAAATTGGAATTTTGTTAATTTACTTAAATGAGTGACGATGAAATGTATCATAAGATCGAATTAATGGACCAAATTGAATATACGTATCTTTTATAGGAATTTGTACGCGCGTTGAACATAAATTATACACAATCCAATATACAAATATAATCTAAAGTGCCGAAACAATGTAATTTTATAAATATCTTGTTAATTAATTGCAACGAATTTTTTAATGCTAAAGCTATCGAAAGCAGATTGTAAATTCCAGCCCATGTCATTAATCGTGAAAATTAACAGCAATTGCGATAGACACGCATTAACTAAAGTTAAATGCCCGACTCAACTTTAGCCCATAACATTTATTCGGTAAACCAGCGCACTCGTAAAACTAGGGCCCGCCGCAGTACCATAACAGGGCCATAAAAGCGACTGGCTTCCAGCTTTTTCAAAGGGACGATTTCCAGGCGATCGCTAAGCGCTTGTCTCCTCTTGAATCGTTAAAAACGTCGCGCGAATCCATGCAGCATTCAACAGCGTGCATTCCGATGCGCGTAGTTGACAAAACGGAGTCGTGCAGGAGTTGTGGCCGATGAGCGACGCAGCCGCCGTTGGATGCCGATCGTTAAAATTCCGCAAGAACGAGTGGGGAAAAAGGGTGGCCCCTTGCCCTTATCGATGGCGACCCTGCGCGCCGGAACTTCCGCGTCCCTACAAATCTCCGTAGTCAAGAGAGAGAAGGACCCCTTATCGGTTGGTCATCGAAAGAAGATCGAAGGGCCAAAGTGGTTGACGAAGGGCGGGTGGGGAGGGGGAATACGGAAAGCATATCCCAGATATGGTAATCGGGAGCTTCCCGTCGTTTTTCCGGTCCCTCCTTTTTACTTGTCGCGCTGTTAGCATAAGACCAAGTATATAAGCGCCCTTAATGGAACTAGTTAATCGCGAAAACCGGCTGAATAAGCAGCGTAAAGCCCGCGGCTTTTCTCCCGGAACACAACAATTTCGCGTGCGACGCTTTTTCCGTGTGCTTTGCATGTCCCTTTGCTTCTCTTCGTGCTCTCTTTCTCCTTCGTTGCGCATTTTCTCACGTTGCTTTCTGCAGATCGGGATGCGTGTAATTGCGATGTTTCCGTTGATAGTATCGGCTTGTTTCTTGTGTGTTTAGTTATGGCGATGAGGAACTCGTACATGGCGAAACATTATACTGCCAGACGATGCAGTTATTCATATTTATACTATTCGTTTACAGCGCGTAGGGGCTAGATAAACGACTCAGAATACGATTGTTTGCGCGGTTTGCTTATTGCGAATAACTCTAACCCAGACCGATTTCACGGTTTAATTAAAATATGTGAATAGCTAATGCTTCCCTTTATGGTCATTAGAAATAAACATGAAAATAAAGTATCAACCACTGATGTTTACCATTTAGTTATATTGAAAATGTATTGTTTTCGCATTAATTATCTCAATTATTAGTTTCCATAATCCAAATATTGCCTCTGGTGGGCCTGTAATGACTTGTGAGATCAAACACTTATAATGTCAAATTCACGGATAAGAATTTGAAATTCAGCGGCGGCTCACCGACTCTACTATCTATATACTAATATTCTCTCTTATATTAGTAGCTCCGGATCTCTCATAAAAAATGACTCGCAAGTAAAATGTAAATAAAAATAATGAAATATGACGAAGTGCGCTTTCCTGTTGATGAACGATATAAATTGCCGCTCGAAATAATGGAAAGTGCAAGGTCGTAAAATTCTGTGACCGACGCTTCGATACAAAGTGCAAGTAATACTTAGTAGGCTGAAAAGTGCCGTAAATGCCTTCACGTTTTCGAGCAAATTGAATCTACTCAGTTGGGTCGTATTACAGGGCGTTAATCTCCCTCGCACTATCTAAAGCGGAACTCCGCGCGGGAATTTGAAACGAAGGTATAAAGGGAAACAGGTTATAATTACCTTGCCAGAATGTGGACCACGTGGCATTGTGACCAATAGATCTTCCTCGGCGTTCGGCGCCATGTCCGATTCACTGTAAAGTGAAACAAATATTTATATAATTGTAAATCGTACGTAATCTTATTTATCTTTAATTGTCGATATAATCGCTGCTATTACATTGAACCTTCTTATCATGATGTTCGTCGTGTCTATCGAGTACTTATTCGATTGCCTATTGTATTTTTATTAACTCAAGAATATATTATTTCATTTGTTTGGTACTATTTAATATTATACACTTGCAGCACATGTTATGGTTATTTGTTATTTCTACATTTTTTATATCATCGAATAAATTAGTTTAAGTTAAGCATGTATTTTCAAATGTAAATGAACGGAATTTCAATGTGCATATTCACTACTATTATATCATAATATTATCTTTGCAGCTGTTAAAGTACAAAAAAATTTTTCGAATATAAAAACATTTTTCATATCTTAATTTAACAATAGGATTTTACGTTTAATTGAGCGATTTTATGGCCAAAGTGATCGATTAATTATAATCACTTAATTAATTAATTAATTAAATAATTACACTGAAATATTCAAAGAAAGTAATTTTAATTTAAGAAAGTAATTTTAAAGAATTTTGTAGAACAAAATGAATATGCCCACACTGCTTTCTGGTATAATAAATTATTAGCAAAAATTTACAATTTTATAAGTTCATATATATTATGCTATTTATAAATTCATTTAAATATTTATCAATTTTTAATTAATATATAATATACATTTTTGTTAATGTGTGAAAGCATAATGTATACAGTTTTCAATATCGCGTTTAAAAAGTGCAACGAATTTAGAAAGTTTTAAGTCTCGATTATCACACAAGAATTATTTTTCAAATGTGTAACTGTAAGACATTTTTACTATAACGTTTCAACAAGAATCTCAAATCAACCGGTCATTGTAATTCGTAATCAGAGACAATACGAAAAATTGTCGAACGAGCTACCGATGCGTTTAAAGTATCGTTGATCAGCAGCAAACAATACGGAGTGAAATTTCAATACCAATCAGGATAATTTTAGCATTATTTTAGAAAAGAAAAAAAGACAGAAAGAAAATAAACTGTATTTGAAATAAAGACGTTGTGCCGCGAGTGTAATGGACTTGAATTGCACCGTCGCTCATATCTGGTTCCTATAATCTTAATGCATACGTGTCTTGGGATCGAGTTCCAATTATTATTGTGCGTTCCATCTGATTATTTCTCGTGTGCCGTTAACCGCGAGAATCTAATTTTCTTGGCGGAGTCTAGTAAGCGAATCACTTCTATTTCGAATGGAAAGAAACTTTGTGTATGCATCGATTTTCTAGATACTTAATTCACGTATTTGTATTTACATTTAGTTCTCACTGTGCTTATATGTGCTTTTACTGAAATAAATAGTGATGTATTTTAATTTATTTGTTGGGATAACGAGAGAGGATTCAAATGCTTAAATATTTGTATAAATGATGGTTATAAATGATAAATATTTTTGTAACTGTCGTAACCTGAGAATTTGCCTCGACGAAAAGATAAAAGAACAATTAAGATAATAATTTTTCAATTCAATTATACTTTAATACAATTAATTTGATCATTTAATTAATATATTTTCATATTACGAAGTAATGATATCTTCCTATTAGTAATAATTAGCAAAGTCATTTAAATACTGGCCATGAATCTTTTATATAATATTTTTAAACCTAAAAGAACATGATTTAGTATCTACATTGCATTGATTTAAATTTTTATTAAGATATTCCGTAAATAAGTAAGAAACTGTAATTATTATTCATTTGAAGTGTACTTACGCATTTGCATAATTCACTATGTATAAAGTGAATAAAAAATTATTAAAGACAATTTTCATGTTAAACGTTGAAAACAATATTTGATGACGAAACCTACTCGTTATTTTATAACTGAGCTTGATGTTATAATTGTACAGAGTCTAAGAAGCAAAAGTTATTAATGACAGACAATGGCCAATTACTGTTTATATCCCATTAAAAGAAAATGTGAAATATATTTTTGCGTATATTCGAATAATAACGACTAAGAAAATAAAAGATGAAAACAAAAAAAAATATATAATAGAGACTTTGTCGTACCAATTCTGAAATAATATAGCGATAAATAAAAAACATACTAGTATTATTATACCTTTACAACTCTTTCATGACAATTTCATCGATTGCTCAAATATGTGTCAAAAAATAATAACAACAGAAATGATAATAATAATAATAATAATAATAATAATAATAATAATAATAAGAAGAAGAAGAAGAATAAATCAGATATCTAACTTATATTTCGGATAATCATTGGGTAGGGCGCAACCAACTCTTAGATATATTCTCAGATGGAATGTCAATGATAATGAAAACGAAGCCATAGATTTTCAATTCAAAATAAATCTCTAGATGTAATTAATAATCTAAATATACAGAATTTACATAGAGAATGAGTATCTAAAATCGACCAAACAGGTACATAATATAGACCCCGCGAGCTAGTTAACATACTTTGTATATTTGTCATTTTATCAACTAATATCGGCGTGATATAGTTTATAATAAAAATGATTGATATTTAGTAATTAAAATTTCTTCATCATCGTTAAATTGTAATATCAAATTGTTATTACAATTCCAATAGTTCCAAAAAATGGTCTTATTTTAAAATAAATACTCCTAAACATTATTTACAAATCTTTGATTAAGCCATTAAATAATTCAAATGAGTCTATTATAACAGTACCCGCGTAGAAAATGTCGCAGTTAATTGATAATATATAAATTCAACATTTATATAATTGATTTTTATTTCGAATGTATAAAATTTTCGTATACTGTGTATTAATATGTCTGAATATTTTATGACCATTATCAACGGGACTTACAAATTATATGGGTAATGCGATAGTCATTATCCAGTCAAACTCTTTAAAATACAAAACAAATTCACGATATATTTCAATTTTATTGAAAGTTTAGAATTTGAAAGTCAAGGATGAGAACTCTCAGTTATATGATTTCCATAAATTAGAAATCATATGTTTTAAAACTGTATATTGATTACTAAAAAATTATTAAACAAAAAAAAAAAAGATAATGCATACATAAATTCTTTTCATATATAAAATAATATGAATGTACACCTCTGGTTTGGTATAAAACGTAAATCTCACAAATAAGTAATTCGATGCTTTATAATATGAAATTCGATTGAAGTTGCGCTTAGAAAAAGTTAGGAAGAAAAGTTAAATATAATTATTGTTTGATAAATGTAATTATGTAGATGCATTATTGTGCTGGAATAGTAAGATTAATCATTTTAAGAATTTAATTAGTATTCACTTGAAGAAATAAGAAATAATATAGGCTAAGAATTTACAAATGATTTGCTTAAATAGTGAAACAAACATTTTAATTATAATTAATAGAATGTTTTTTCTCACATTACAAGAGATTAGTCGGTAATAACTAATTTATTTAAATATGTTTTATAATCCAGTCATTAAATGAATCGTTCGTTATATTTAGTAGGGATGTAACATTAATACACATTAATTCAAATTTTTATAGGTATTTAAGAAATTTTTACCTCAAGTTAAACAAGCATATATTCTATTATTAATTCCTATTAAGTGTTGTTAAGAACAAAAGATTTAGGAAAGTCGAGCTTTATGTACGAAGAATATGAGTGTCAAAATTTTAATCGTTACATTCTAAAAGGTGAATTTGAAACTTGGAGGTCGGTTAGACATTGGTGCATAGATAAAATATCTGTCTCAAACATCGAATGGGTAAGGGGGTAGGAAAAACTTTACACAAACTACGTTATTCACTCGAGATTGAAGAGAGAAAGAGTGAGTGCTAGTGCGCGGGGTGGGAGAGAGGAAGAGGATCTCCCCGCCGGCACGGCTGGCTAACGTGTCTCGATCCACCTTACGGCTCTAGCGAGTAACATGCGACGTGCATCCCCAGGCAGAAGAAGGCGAGCGTCCTTTTGGCGCCTAGCGGTACACGCGTGGTTATGGGCGCGCATGCGCGCGCGCGAGCATGTGCCGTCGTCCTCGTCGCCGTCATCCTCGGCGCTTAAGGTCAATGCCTCATTCAAGGTGTAGCCAATACACGTATAAGCGAACGGACGCGTGTCTCCCGGGCGAGAGCCTTGCCGTTTTTCTCGATGCCGGTGGGAACGTGGCGACGGGGATACAAGTGCGTACCGCCAACTGGTATTAGCCGATCCGCGGGAGGCACGATTAACCGTCTCGCTATTATTTAATCAACCAGTCTTTACGGATGGGAGGCTACTTTTATAGTAATACCGATCGGAGACAAATTTTTCAGGGTTACGGGTCTGTATCGAGCCGAGCAATTTTAGTCGACTTCATAGGATACAATTGGTACGCGAACGCTAAATGATATCTTTGTCTTTCGCATTCCTCGACTGTTATCTTTTAATCTTTAATGGCTTTGAGTTATTGTTCGGCAATCAGCGATTCGGTAAAAATGCATTTTCACCGTCGCTCCCATGTATACATCGCATGGCTGTGCTTTTCTATTATTTCCGCAGCCGTCGATCATTGATTTTCATCTGTGTCAAGTTGCGTGATAGGTTAAGGAAATCCTAGGATGGCTGGATCAAAGGGGAACACGTTTATGATGCATTTGCGCTGATTTCTCCTCCGCGTCAAACACGCACCTCGTATATGAATTACGTTGATTCGTGAGATACTTTTATTTGTGAGAATTTTGTGAAACATTTACATGACTATTTGCAAATTCTATTGTGCTGATACAGGTGCAAAAAATATGTAAACTTTTGTATTTATGATACAATAGAGTGCGGTAGGGATGGGCCATAGGATTCATGAGCTTACAAAGTAATAAGTAATTAAATTGTAAAGCGTTTCACTTAAATACTTTCCAATAACTCAGGTTGAAAAATAAATTTTAATAACATATAATTATGTATGGCTTGAAAAATGTGTAATGGATTACTCTAAAATTGGATTTGAA